GCGAACATCCACAGGTCGTCGAAGGTTTTGAATTCTGATTGAAGAGAAAAAAAGTAAAATTTGTTAAAGAATTGTGCTTTTAAAAATCTTATTAAGCTAAAATCCTCTTTTTACCCTTTCCAGGCAGCGTATTCAGCGTGGCGGCCTTATTCCCCAGCGTAAAGTAGGTCGTGTAGTTCTGGCGCATCTTCCGCCCCGTCGCATCCCTGAACTTCGTCCACACCTCCTTCAACAGCGGCTCATCAGTGGAGGTGGCGAGAATCTCCGTCAGATCGGGCTCCAGGGTGAGACTACTGTTTCCGCCGGCGTCAATCGTCGCCGTACTAAAAACGGTCTCCATGGCCAGCTTGGCGTTGGTGAAGGTGCTCGCGTCGGCCTCGTTCAGCGCCGACGTCCCGATGACGGCGAACTTCTCAAATTGGCGCCGCTGAAGCGGTGCAAGGGCGGAGAAGTTGAACGCCTTCGTCTGGGTGAACTGCTTCTGGCGGAAGGCGTTGAAATCCTCCACCGCCTCCACCAGATTCGCCTCGTTCGTTTCGGAGATGTCCGAGCCTTGCTGCCACTCGGCGTCGGTCATGGCGTTCAGTGCCCGGCGGTACTGCTCGTTTGCGGCGGCCAAAAAGTCGGCGGCGTTCATCGGCTCCACGTAGTCTTCCACCTTGGCGTTCCAACCAACGGTGATCTTATTATCAGCGATGAACTTATCAAGATAATCATTTAGAGGTTTGAAGTACTTGTTCAGCGACCCGAGGCTCATCGTCCGGCTGCCGATGAAGCTCTCCAGAATGTCCGGCCAGCTCCTGGAGCTGCCCTGCGCTAGCATCGCCATCAGCGCCGCGCCCGCCTCCTTGTTCCCGTCAAAGTCGCAGGTGTAGAGGTTCTGCTCGGTGATGCCCGCCACCGTCTTGCACATCCTCTCGTAGAACTGGAACTGCAGCACGTGCGAGGCAAAGTAGCGGACGTACTCGACCCCGGCCGGAATGTGGTACTTGGCGCCCGGGTCAAAGTCCCGCTCATTTCGCTTCCGGTCGGTGATGGGCGGCGACAGTCCTTGGTACTGCAGGCGGTACTCCCACCACCGCCGGTTCATCGCCGTCTCAGTGGTGGCCACCTCGCCGAAGACGTCCCACCGCCACTTGTCCATGACGTAGGCGAAGGGGAGGAAGGCGACCTTGTCAAGGGCCATCTTCATCTGGTAGTTGAGGTTGATCTTCTCCACATCCGCCGGCGGAATCGGGTCCAGCAGGTCCACCTTCACCAGGTGCTGGGGCGTGGCGACGGCCAGGGCGATCAGGTCGCCGATGGCCTCGTGGAAACCGGGGTTCGCCCCTCGCCGGTAGATGGGCGGCTGCACCACGTAGTTCATGTAGTACTGAATGTGGCCCATCTCGTGGTGGACGGTGACCAGGTCGGACATGGTCTTTTCAGTGCACTGCTTAATGCGGAAGTCGGTCTTCGAGGCGTCGTAGAAGTCCCAGGCGGAGGCGTGGCTGGGAAGGAGGAAAATGATGGTGGTGATTATTTTTGGTTTTTAATTAGTAAAATTTTTGCTGTTTTTTGTTGTTGTTGTTTACCAGGTAAGATTCCGGTCAGTGGGCTTCTCCAGAATCGACTTCTTCCAGAAGGTGTCGGTCATCTTCTGCATGCCCAGGTCGGCGAAGAACTTCTCCGACAGTTCGAACATCTTCTTGACGGTCCAGGTCTAAACTCACATTTAAAACAAATTTTTAGTTTTCGATTTAAAATTCCTCTCACTTCACTAAACTCACCTGTAACTTCTCGTTCACTTTGGTGTCGATCGGCTTCATCTCGGGATTGGGATTCATTTCGGGGATAATGTTCAGTAGGTTGCCCCACTGCTGCGCCCACATGTTGCCCAGCAGGTGGGCGGGAATGGTGCCGTCGGCGGGCATCACCCCGTCGCCGTACTTCTCCTTCAGGTGGTAGCGGACGTAGGCGTGGATCTTCTGGTAGAGGGGCATCGTTTCTTCCATCAACTTATCCACCTGGGCCTTCATGTCGGCCGTCTCCCACTCGGCCATCCACAGGTCGTCGTAGGTGCGGAAGTCCTTCCCGGGGAGGGAGTTCAGCCTGGCCGCCTTGTTCCCTAGCGTGTAGTAGGTGATGTAGTCCTGGCGCATCAGGGGGCCGGTGGCGTCCCGCCAGTTGACCCAAACTTCACGGAGCAGCTTTTCGTCGGAGCTGTTTGCTAGAATTTCCGTCAAATCAGGCTCCAGCTCCAGATTGGGCCTCCCGCCGGCGGTGATCCTCGCCGTGCTGTACACCTTCTTCATCTCCAGCGAGGATCGGCTAAAGGTGGAGGCGTCGGCCTTGGTCAGCGCCGACGTCCCGATGATGCCCATCTTCTCCAGCTGCCGACGGGTGAAGTCGGTCAGCTGGGGGAAAAGGTCAAAGTAGGCTTTCACCTCGTTGAACTGCGCCTTGCTGAACTCGTCGTACCGCTGGCTGGCTTCGATCTAGAAAGAAAAAAGAGGGAAAA